GGGGGTGGGGGGGGTAGAAGGATAGCAGAGAATCAATCAAGCCAAACATTCAGTCATTTCCTACACAAAAACATATCTTCATGTTTCCAGTTAGAAACACTGTTTCCCAAGTTAGTCCATTCTGTTAGGGTTTAGATTTGATTTTTCAAGAGGCTTCTTTAAATAAATCAAAAATCTATTACCCTTTAACTTCACTCACCAATTCTAGCACTACCCTTTGGGATCATAAATAAGTGGATAGGCTTATCGCTGCCCACTTCCCTTTAAATATTTGAAAATAATCCTACATCTATCCTTTATCTTTTCTCTTCCATAGTGTAAATATGTCTAGTTCTTTCCACTGTACTTCAGATGACAGAGTTTAATTTTCTTATCTTTTTGGTCTCTTGCCTATAAATGGCTTCTTGAAGTATGACTTTTCCAAAAATGCAACTCTATACATTTCACACCAACCTCTAGCACATTCTCCTTCCCTCTCTGGATGCCACAACTCAATGAGGTCCCCACACTTGCTATGTAGACTTTGTGAATAGTTGAAGTCCTGTCCAGTAAATAAGATAGTATTTAAAGTATTTGGGCCCAATTCTTATTGCCAGCAAACTTTATGTGCTACAAAATTTCAGGGGTAAATATTTCACCTGCTAATTAGATGATGCCTCCTGTCCTAGTAATTACTGCTAAACAATGTATCTTTTTAAGTTTGGAGGGTAAAGGAGAAAAAGGAAAACATAGCTGCCAAGACAATCAATATCAATGGCCAGTATAATAGATAATGTGAAATAGGAAGAAAAGGGGCAAAGAGGAAGTGGGAGGCATAGGGAAAAGGAAAGAAGGAAATGGAATTAATCTGAGAAAATGAAAAAATGGAAACAAAGTCTTTGTAAACAGGGAGGGATGGAGGGGTTGAAGGGAGGCCTGGGCAAGGGTGAAAAATAAGAACCAAGAGAGATTATCTAAAGGTCCAAATGTCATGATATTGTATACCTAAAACATACCAAAAAATTAAATTTTAAAAAATACATCAATGGCCAAATAAACGTATAGTGGTGTTAAAAGGATTATGAGAAAATTATAAGAAATATTTCCATGAGCAAGGCTATTGGTATGCTGGAAACATGCTATATTTTGACCCAGAAGGTGGTTTCATGGAGGCGCTCTTATGTAGAAAAGCATCATATTGCACCCTTACATTGTCTGCACTTTGCTCTGTGTAAGTCTCATCTGAACAAGGAAGGAAAAAATGTATCTATAAGTTGATCTTCTCTCAGTGGCTCTAAATTCACTTTTTACTTGTTTCGCTTTATTTGGAGTTAAGCTCTTCAGTTTTAATGGCCAAGAGGATATGGGTCTCCCATGGCTTTCATGCAGCAAAGACACTTATGTTAAAATTAAAATGCTCTTGAGCAGAGATGCCCCTTCCTATCTAATAACAGCTCAAAAGAACAGGGCCAACACTTGACTCACAAGTGAGTAGAATACTCATCTTTGTTGTCACTTGTGTTACACCAAAGAACACAGTGCCTGCCCAAATCTCCTTTTCATTAGGCTGACAGAAACCTAGAAACTGGTACTCTTAGTAGACTTTGGATAAATGAATCAAAGTGCTTTGCTAAAATGCATTTTTTCCAGGTTTTTCAAAGTCACCTAAAAGACCCTAGAAGTTGCAGAACACAGGGCACATATTTATTGATGTGTTTAAAAATCCAGAGTACAGATAGTACTCAGGAACGATAGGCCCAGATGCCCTATTAGGATGTTATTTGGCAACAGAAGTGGGTAAAGTGCTGGGATGAGAGGGGGGAAAGAAAACCATAACACAGTTTCTTCCTGCTAGTCACACAGGAGGATTTTTCACACATGAACAATGCCACCAACCATCCCCTTACCAGCAGGGACACGTTAGAATTGTGAGTGTGGGAACCATGGGCAGGAGAAAGGGAACAAAACTAGTTTCCAAAGATCTTTCAGCTCCAGTGCAGAAGAAATCATCCTGCAATAGTGAATCAGGAAACCTGGCTTGAATCCGAAATCTGCCATGACCTAGCTGTGCAGTTATCACTTAATTTCTCCCATTCGCCATTTATTCATCTATAAAAGGAAGTAGAGCAAAATGATATATAACCCCAAAGATTCCAAGTGCTCCCGGTCTTGCTGAATTATAATACCTCCTACTGTGTCTTGTTGGGTTCTATAATTTCTCAGAGAGAAGAAATGTTTCCACTTGGAATAAAAGATTCTCATTGTTTATTTTCATCTCTACCGTAGCAACATTCAAACATGCCCATATCACAGGTCTGAATCTCTCCCCCAGTGTCCTCTTGTTGGCTGCTTTCCAAAGAAGGAGACTTGGAACAATAACGTACAAAATCATGGGGAATTCCCACATCTCCCAAGATGAAGCATTACTACAGGGATTCAGAATTGGCGCTGGTTTTCCAGTTTCCTGAATGACTCTCTCCAGGTGGTATTTGTTGGATTTTACTGAAAGTTTATATATTCTTTACACTTAAAGCTATAAACTTTGTTCTGTTTCCGAGGACAAATCTGCCAACAGATTGCACAACTCGCAAAGCCCCAAGGTTATAAATGGGAGTTCTTTTCTGTATATTTCAAACTAGTAGCTCAAGAAAAGGACATTTTAATGGGTTAGATTATCACTTGACACATTAGAACGACATCAAGGAGTCTGAGATGTACTTTATCCAGAGACGAGAGGATGCAAAGAGATGCAGAGCTGTGGATGTAAAAGTCCCCGTCACATTATCTGGGACCTTGCCCTGGCAAAATAACTCACACACACAACAAATATATCTAAAAAGGAAAAGTTGGCATTAGTCTTCTCTAAAAACAAGTTTCAGAGAAAGGATCAGGTCTCTAGGGACTGTGGTAGCTATCAAATCATGGGTAGAATTAGCAGCATACCAGTTTTATTTGGTTACCACTACCTACAAAGGCCCACTGTCCATCCACTACCAGCCACACAAACACTTGTGTTGGAATCCAGAGAGGTAGGTGAGAAGAGATATAAGAGAAGTATCCTAAAATACAAAATAAAGATGCAGATCTGGCATCCAAAGGTGAGAAGGAAAGAATTATCAGTTTCTTTATCCCCACTCTGCCATAATAAACATGTTCCATCAAATTCTGCCAATTCCAACAGAAATAAAAAAAGAGGTACAGGTGTATTTCTATTGGTGCTAAGTTCTCTTTCATATTTTGTTTACCATTTTCATTTATACATTCACAATGAAAATACAAAACTAAATTCTACAATCCAGCATGCTTGCTAAAAATAAAAGCATGGCTTAATAATAAGCTTGCTTTCAACTATATATCACGCTCATTTTTATAAACCCAGTAATAAACAATCCTGATTTTAAATTAAAAGTTCACTCTCCTTTTTATGTAATTTCTAAA